TTGGTTAATATGTGACCTTCTCGGAGAGACAAAATATATAGTATCTGAGACAGGTTGTATTTTCAGTGATATTGCGACATGGCCTAAGGTAAGCTAGTATTACAATCTGTCATGTTTGTAGACTTTTTCTCAATTTTTATATATTAAAAAATGTTTGAAAAAAGAAATCAAATGAATATGGATCTACATATTTTCATATCATATCATAAAAAATCATATCATAATAATAAGTATTGCATTTTTCCTTATCCAGTAAAGATAAAGACATTTTCATGTCCTCAATTCTCTCCAATATTGGCCTTTATTCGAGCATCAATGATGAGTCTTTTGTAGACAACACGAGCTTCTGGCGTACAAAATTTTAATCCTTGTATCTATGATGGGTTTATTTATCAATAATTTCGATTTTTATATCAGTTGGTTAAATATTGTTTCGTATTGTGATAGAGAAGTAGGTTAACGTTTATTTCCCAGTAGTTTCTTATTTTTATTTTCAATCAAAGGCGGTGTATGAAACGCATCAATGATTTATTAGACCAACGACAAGGTCAAGGTCACTCATGTTACATTCAAAAACATTTGTTGATATTACAGGTTATGGCGGGGGAATGCCGACAGCACAGTTGCAAGAACGGCGAGAGATGTATCTTCAATGGTCAACATCAGCTTTGTGAGAAATCATGTAAATAACCATATATATAGTGGAATTATAATTATAAGTAATTAGCAAGCGGTAGCAGGAGTTTATGTTTATATCTCATAGATACAAATAAAACTGGGTGCGTCGACAAAATAGGTCTATTTTTCCTTTGTATATACATGTGGGGTCTTCTCCATGTATTCGAATTAGTTGTTAAGATCGAAATAACAATAATAACAATAATTAATTATTTTCTTCGTAAACGTCTCTGAACGCGTTGTATATATAAGCAATAATCTGGCATGATCCAGTGACTTATACAGCAGATAAAATATGAGTTGAGGTTTCATATAAGAGGAATTTATTCCCACATCACCACGTCAAAACAATGTTACACATAACTCTTATATTCTGCTGTTCTGATCTCTTTTTGAATTAAGGAGAATATGATGACTTTATATGACAATTCTGATTAAAATTTTAATTTGTTCAATAATGTTTTTTACAAGATCATTTTTTTGTATAAAGCTGATTATTAACATCCTCATTGAAAACGTACAAAATATTTGAGATTTCCACTTCTCGGTGTTGGCAAGGGCCATACGTTTTCACACTTGTTTTGTTTTCAAATGAATTCAAACGTTTTAAATCTTCAACACTACCATGACTATATTCAATAAAATGATATTATAAAGTGTTGCAATAAATGGATGTTTTACGTAGTTTGAAGACATATACCATGAAAAAAACTCTGCAATTGGGATCTTGGGTGATCGCTATGATGTTATGTTACATTTGTCGACATGTCCTTGAAGCTTAAATTGTAATACAGGTCCTCCTTTATATATTTCGCTTTCAAATATTCGGCTTTGAGCGTTCATGAAGAAGGCAAATTCCAGAAAAGAGTTTCGAAAGTATAACATTGATAACGTGTTGTTTTCATATTTTACCTTACTATCAAAGTTGTTTTTATAAATATTAACCTTGTAGACTGTATAGAGGCTCCAGTTGTACAGAATGCAGTTAGTACTGAGAGGTTTGGTGTATATAGGAATATTGGTGCCGGTTTAAGATTTAAATGTGAAGATGGATATAAAATCAATGGATGGCCTTACTCAGTTTGTCTACCTTCAGTTGAATGGGAAAATAAGTTTTCCTGTGTAGCTGAAGGTGCGATTTATACAATAAAAATAGACTTTTTCTTAATTTTTATTCATCTTTTTTATTGTTGTTTTATTTTAGATATTTCACTCATGCTGGATATTTTTTCTATAAGTATAAAAAAGAAGATGTAGTATGATCGCCAATGAGACAACTCTTCATTGGAGATCAAATGACACAGATATTAACACCTATAGGTCACCGTACAACCTTCAACAATAAACCAAGTCCATACTGCATAGTCAGCTATAAAAGGCCCCGAAATGACAAATGTAAAACAATTCAAACGAGAAAACTAACGGCCTAATTTGTGTACAAAATATTGAACGAAAACCAAATATGTAACACAGCAACAAATGACAACCACTGAATTACAGGCTCCTGACTTCGGACAGGCACATACAGAATATGGTTGGGTTAAACATGTTAGCTGACGCCCCCTAACCTGGGACAGTGGTGTAACAGTACAACATTAAAAGCAAACTATAAATATCAGTTGAAAAAGGCTAGAAATACATATAACAAAAACATTGAGTGAACGTAGCTGGGTACTTGTACATCCCAAAAACAAATATTCACTAAGAACAGATCTGAGAGTACTCGCAGTTTTTGACAGCTAGTTTAAAGCCAATAACAACTAATAAAACAACTCAGGCATCTAAGACTAAATTAAGGCTTATTTCTCAATTTGCATTCATTTTTTATTTTAAATTCCTCCGAAAGAATAAGATGTTTATTAAATTTTAAAGATTAATTGCTTAACATTATCTATATCGTATCCTGTATACAATTTAACCGTAAATACTAAACATGCTTAAATAATTCTTATACACCAGAGACTGGTTCCTGTCCAGATGAATGGATATTACACAACGAACATTGTTACTTCTTTGATAGGGAACAGATGACATGGAGCCAGGCAAAGGTTAAGTCACTTTACCAAATTACACTACACACTCAAAATAACAAAAAGGCAGAAGTTTACTAATGATTTAGATATGTATAGACACTTGTAGGACTATATATATGTGTGTTAATTTGATTTCTGCTATTCAATTGCTGCTTAATATACATATAATCGATGTTTGTAATTTAAAGTTCAGGCTTAGGAGAAACAGAAATCATGCATACGGAAACCGGTACTAAATATGTTTACATTACTTTTATTGGACCCGTGTCGCTACCTCTGAATGAGTAATTCCTAAGTTACCATCCGCCAAGTAGTAATTGTATCGATTCCAAATGTTCAGGTTCTTAATTAATATGTAGTTGGTTTCATTGACCAGAGTATCACACCCATACATTTTTAGACTTTTAATTTTGAAATAAAATTTGAAAACAATATTTTTTAAAAATATCTAAAATTGAGGAATCCATCCGTCTTTGCAAAGCTATGATTGCCTGTGTGACTTTGGCTATACTTTTTTCCTATTTGGTTTATAAACTCTACAATTTTTCTTAAGATTTGGATTTTCAAACATTTTTATATCGAGCATCACTGAAGAGACATCTATTGTCGAAAGGCGCATCTGGTGTAGGAAAATTGGTGTCTTTTAAATATTGTACAAAACATATTATACTATTTTCTGATTTCAATAAATTATCGTCCGAAAGTGTTTGTTCTTCCATTTGTCCGTCCTTGACGAATGCTACGATCGCCATAATCTGAAAGTGGCGATAAACTAAAAACTAAATCAATAAATTAATCTTAAATTCTGAAGCATTGAATTCCAAGTATTAGGTTTCAAGCACCACCACATATAGCAATAAAGATTCAATTCATGTAACTAGTTACGATTTCGTGATTTATGTTGGACTTGAAAGAACAGTAAACGACTGTAACTATCATGCACGCATTCGTTCAATTGTGAATTGCATTACATTTCAGGTTAATTGTATAGAGAAAAATAGTAACTTAGTGAAAGTTGAAGATGACAATGAAGAATTGTGGATAGAGGGAAGTATGCCTGGTAAGTTTCAAATGCTCCACATTAAGCAATGATCAGTTCAAAGTTACCTTTATTTCACTCTTTGCACTGAGACCCTCAACACTGTGATATTCCAAAATAATTTCTTCCGGTGTTATTTAACACTGTGCTAATCAACAGTAAATACTTGCGATGTAATTTAACATTGTGTTTCAAATGTTTCATGAAACCAATTTATGACAGCTTTTCTAAAGTGAACTGAAAAAGCAAACATAAAGTGTACTGCACTTTTATAACGTAGGGAATGTTATAGTTGTATAAATATGTTATTGTGTTTAAAATATATGTACCCACTATATCTTGATGAATTACATGTGCATCTGCCAAAAAGCATTTGAACACATGTATTTTGCATCAATGGCTTAGTTGCTCTGCATGTTCAGGATGTTAGCTACTCTGTTTTAAATTAACAAGCTTTTTAAAAGACTGTTATGGCTTGAGAGTAAGTAAATACCGGAATTTAAAAAGCAGAAAAAAGGTCCTTGTCCTTGTTTTTTTTTAATACAATCAATTGAAAATTTGGCGGGAAATGATTCACTCTCATACATTTAACATTGGGACCATTTTTCTCTCAAAAACTATTTAAAAAAAGCATGGATTTTATAATATGTTCAAAAATAGCTTTTTATAGCAACTTTATCATGTATATGCTGTAACATTTTGAAAAAAGTACGAGTTAGCGGGCAAAATTTGTATTGGCACTTCATGGATAAAACTAGAGGATTTCGAATATTTATCAAAAAATCAAAAACAAAAGTAGAGAACATCCTTAATAAATTATATAGCTTGACGTCTTTTGATGAACACAATACTATATACATTTTAGTTGTTGCCTTAATATTCGTTCATTGATATCTCGAGAATAGTTGTTTCATTGGCCCTGATAAAGCACCTACTTTTTATTAACAAATTTATAGCTAAAAGATATCGATGAATCCATTTCTTTATAATTTTATCTATTATCTAAAAGAATATACTTCTTTATGGTAGACTCTAAAATTTGGATTGGTGCAAATGACATTGAGAATGAAGGTCGGTGGATATGGTCATCCGATAGCACAACCCTACAGTATTTCTCTTGGAGATCCGAACAGCCAGACAACCATCATGGTGAAGAACATTGTGCACACATTTTTTCTGACAAAGAAGGTGGTTGGAATGACATCGGCTGCTCTGAAAGAATTTTTTTCACATGCGAAAGAAATGCTATTTTATAGTTTATCCACTTAAAAGTATAATTAGAAAATACGTGGTACAGTGGGTGTCGTTCGTTGTTGTAAGTTGACAGTTTTTACCCCCACATTTTATTAGCTTAAAGCAGTGCGCTCCTGTTCTCTTTGCTTTTTGTCACACTTTGATTACACATGGCCTTCAATAGCTGAATATACGGTATGGGTATATATGTATTGTGGTCTCATTTGCAAGCATATACCATATCTTCGTATACATTTTTATTTATATTAATCAATAATAACACCTGGTTAGTAACTGTTATTCTTCATCCTAAACTACTGTAAGAATTAGGATACTGGTTTTAAATTCCAGTATTTTTTTGAATGTCATATAAAGAGATACAAAGTGGCCAGTAAAATGTACCTATTTCGATGCGCCGGATAGGGCCATTGAAGTTTTACCAGGCTTTATTTAACTCAGAATTATGATAACCTAATTATCACACTTGTGATAATACTACTATAAAAATAAGAACATGTGGTATGATTGCCAATGAGGCAACTCTCCACCAGAGACCAACGACATAGAAGTTAACAACTATAGTTCACCGTACGACCGTCAACAATGAGAAAAACCCATACCATATAGTCAGCTATAAAAGGCCCCGTAATGAAAAAAATGTACTAACCTGAATAACCAAGACTAATTACTTTCTCTGAAGAGTTGCATCTTAAGTTTGATTTTTATATTTATTTAAGCAAACTATGAAATAAATTCAAGGCAACAGTCGTTTACTATGTTCAAATCTCTTTAGTTCATTTTGAATATACAAGTCAAGATAAAACAAAACATCAAAGCTTAATTGCGGGAATCTTATAAACACCAAAACAGAGGCCTGATGCGTCAAAAGTGCAGGTGTCTCAAATCATTTTTAATTGTATAATTTGTCACACTACATGTTCCACAAGTAGTTCAACTGAAACATGACATATCCCGAGGCAGTAATGAAAATTGCACGATAACGCTTAAGTTTAAATCTGGAATACCTCAGTTACGATCTAGACCAAATATCTAAGAAGTACATACACACTAAATGTTGTGAAAACAGGTGTAACATATAGGCAAATATCCGCAATCAAACATGTATCATGGAGAAAGTTTTGATATTTCTTCCTTATGCAGTGTTCTCATTTTATTGAATTAGAGTAATATGATTTCTTTAAAACATGTGTTTAAATAAGACTTAAAATCCCCCTATTTTGATCATTTTAAAGTTAGATCAATAGTTAATATAATATAGAAATAAGAAGATGTGGTATGATCCAACAGAGTCCAAATGACGTAGATGTTAGCAACTATAGATAACCGTAAGGTCACCAACAATGAACATAACCCATACCGTATACATGGTATAGTCAGCTACACATATATTAATATATACGAATATCAATATATAAAATATCCCTAATGGACAAATGTAAAACAATTCAAACGAAAAGATCAACGGTTTCATTTATTCACAAAACAGTAAACGATATAATAATAATAAAAGAAATTATATTAGAAAATGATTTGTATCATTATAATTGTAAAATAGTCTTTTTATCTATTAATAGCACTTTTGAATGCTGATGTTTGCGTAGCAGACATGCCCTCTGTTAATTTGTGCCCTAAATTTGCACATTTAATAAAATACCTGAAGAAGTTCCATATAAGCTTGCTGTATAACGCAAAAGGTCTTGCTGGTTTGACGACATCACTTCTGCAAGTCTGGCGTCATGTGCTCTACAAGAACCCTAATTCACTGAACAATTACAAAAAATTCAATATTTGTATATTTATAAACAATATTAGGCATCAAAAATATAACCTTTCATTATGTTCGATTGTATATTTTGGAAAAAAATTCAACCCATAATGGATTAAAAAAAAATTCTATTTCAAACATCAAAGTCAAACTTTGTGACAGCCAAAAGTGACAGGTGGTAAATTGTATAGTCGAAAATAAAAAGGGCAAGTTTTGCACCAGAAATTTGAAATAAGATTAAAAAATAAAATGTGACTGTTCATGTTTTTATTGATTATTAATTGTCAATGTCGAATTGGCAACCACTGAGTTAAGGATGAATTTGGGAACTAACCATTTCCAGCATAGCATGACATCAGATGTAGCTATTTAAAGTAGAACAAAAATACATTTGCCATTTCATTGCGATTGGTCATAGTCACCAAAAAGCTGTAAGTAGAAATAGGGTCGTGGTAGACCTTGAAAACAATCTTAAGTCGGGGTCTTTTATATCGAACTAACCGAATGGATTTTTCTCATTGTTAAAGGCCTTACAGTGACATATGATTGCTTATATTAACACATAACTTCCGTAATAAGATTACTTTAACAAATACCTGCGCATTAAAACAATTAAGTTTCTCGTGACAAAAAAAGCATGTAACTTCCGTTTTAAGATTAGTTTAACACATACCTGCGCATTAATCCAATTAGGTTTCTAGTGACTAAAAAAGAATATAACTTCCGTTTAAAGGTCTGTTTAACACATGCCTGCGCATTTAACCAATTTGGTTTCTCGTGACTTTTAAAAAAGGCTTTTAACTTCCGTTTTTTGGATTAGTTTAACACATACTTGCGCATTAGAATAATTAAGTTTCTCGTGACTGAAAAAGCATTTAACCTCCGTTTTAAGATTAGTTTAATACATACCTGCGCATTAAACCAATTAAGTTTCTCGTGACTAACAAAGTAACAAGAATCGGCTTAATGATGCCATGTAACTGGGCACTCTGCTAAACCAGTCGCTGTAAAGACTATATAAAAAGACAGAAAAAGGTGCTTGTATGATTGTCTAACATCAGGTTTTCATTACGAAAAAGCCCCTATCAAACAATAACCTGTTGGTGGTTGATTCATGTCGAGTCTGCGATATCTATGTCGCGAAATCGAGACATGACGTCGGCGTCGTCAATGTTTAGGTTCAGTCTGTTGTTTAAAAGTGTTTTTTAAACAACAATAACTTTGACAAACCTTCATGGAATTTATGAAATTTGGACAGAAACTTGTTTATACTCTCCAACTTCGTTTTTATGTGGCTCTTTTAACGTTTTTTAATAGAGCGTACCTAATGAGTCTTCTGTGGACGAGACTCGCGTCTGTCATACAAAATTTGAATCCTGGTATTTATGATGAGATTAATTATGACCAAAAGACAGTACCTAAATTTATTTTGTGTACGGTAGGGAAATTTATACTACCAAACATATATACGGACCAAGAAATTTAAGTATTTAGTCAAAAAGTTTTGATACCTGACAACTTCATTTAACACATGATTAAGATAAACTTCTACTTAAATTGGTAAACAAGCAAGAAAAATCATGAAAATCAATTAGCATTCCATTGTAGAGTAGCTTTTTACCATGCAAGGTTTTAAGTTAACATTCCACTGTACAGTTTATTAATGTTATTTTTACATGTTTTAGAGGTTGTTGGAATTTAAATGGTTGAATTCTATAATTCAAAGTAGATTCAGTAATTACTTGTGTTGAAAAAAATTAGTAACTTATTATCGTAAGCATCAATTGCTAATTCCATTCTTTGTGGACTCAATGATGTTTTTCTTAAAGCAAATTTGTCAATTTTAAGAATTATTTTGCGTTTTGTTTTTTTTTCCGACAGCAAACTCAAATTTTTCAAGTTCTGACTAACACCATACGTCTCTATGACTGGTCTCAACACGTAAACAGTAATATGCGTATTTTGTTTTACACTGGTTTTAATAAAATACGTTCCCTTTCAAATATCAACTAACGGAAGGGCTCAAAACAAACTGAATTATACAGAATGAGTTCCATTTTATTGCGTAAAAAAGCCGGTAAGATAAGTCTTATGTGCCACTGATGAGTCTTATGTAGATAAAATGCAGGTCTGGAGTACGAAATTCTATGCTTTGTATCTTTGAAGAGGTATTTTGAGAAACGTCTTCCGGAACAAGTACGATACATGTATAGAAAATGTAGTAGCCGAAGCTGGTGAAGCAACCAGTTTTTTACTTGTACATCAAACTCCCTTGAATTGGTTAGTGTAAGATATAATTTTTGAATGGTTTTACTATCGTCTGCAATTGAAGGTAAGCGATTTGAAACATCACCGAGGGGAATATTACATGTATTATAAATGTTTTAATTGTTTCAATTGCTCTACCAGAACAAATACTAAATACGAATTTAATAAGGGAAATAAATATTTGATCATAACTGTCTGTTTGAAAATACAATTTCACTATCCACAACAAAATATACTCCTCCTTAAATCTCTTATCACTTTTAAAAAAAATCTACTGGAAGGGTATGCCTGCATTTGAAACCTTTCTGCTTATTGCTTCATACTTATCAAATTATTCTGTCCTATACACCAGTAAAGTCATTCAAATAGGCATCTGTCGAAAACAAATAAAGATGATCCCTAACTGTGGTTTCATTTCAACATTACAACAACTGAGACAATGCCACTACAGGTGAACTACCAATGGAGGTTGGAAATGATTAACAAACCGGAACCAGTTATACAGCAGTCATGTAAGAACACACAAACTATGATCTGATACAATGCACCAATGTTCTTTTTTTACAGTGTTATGATTTATTTCGCAAATTATAATGACCTACCTGAGAGCAGCAGAATCAGTATAATAGAAATACAGAGCTACTTTGAATATAATGTCTTATCAATGCCTTTTACACTAGGATTGACCTATAAACAATTTCCAACAACTTCGAATTTGGGCATAGTTTCTTACATATCCATCTAAACTGCAATCTGGTGTATTTCCTAATCGTCTGAATTTGTCTATCTAAACAGGTCATTGATTTGCATTTCTCTTGATTTTCTATATAAAAGTACATATGTTTGTTATTTAATTTGGAATTTTAAGGCAAATGGAACTACAATTTAGTGTATTTCTAAATCCTCTGAATTTGTCTATCTTAACAGGTCATTGATTTATATTTCTCTTTATTTTCTTTATAAACACACATATGTAAGTTATTTAATGTGGTTTTTAGGGCAAATGGAAGTCCGAACTACAATCTAGTGTATTTCTTAATCCTCTTAATTTGTCTATCTTAACCAGTGTCTGAGCAGAAAATTGATGAACCAGGGGTTATGTCAAAGAACATCTCGTCCTTTTTTCTGAAAAAGTTCACCGGAAGGTACCAAGACCTTGTTGATAAATGTTCCGTATCAACTTCAAAAATAATACACGATGGTCTTGTATAGATTCTGCGTACTGACGTTGTTTATCATCTTAATAACGTGTTATAGTATAATTTTATTTGTCTTTATTAATATTACTTTTACTGTTAAGTCTGTTTTTTGTAATATCCATTTGACGTAAATTTGACGTAAATTTGATATATGCCTTTTTACTTTCACTGTTAAAACTGTTTTTTTTTATATACATTTGACATGGCTCTGTACTTATGCATCCCGTCATACATTGAACGACAAAATTATTTTTGTTCTACCTGTGTGACTTCAAACGCGCGATTCTACGTCTAAGTTAATGTTAATCTAACCATGTGTCTGTCAGAGTAAGGATTCGGTCCCAGTAGTTAAAATCTTTCAATCCTTTATGGGTGGATTTTACATATATAAATTAAATCGTATAATAAAAAATTAGGTTGTTAAATTTGATGTATGCCTTTTTGTGCTTCTTTGTTACATTTGTTTGTTTTTATAGTGATTAAGATGATAACACAATGTTGACTGCTGTACCCTTATTTTTGACATTTTACTTATTGTATTTGTTTGTTTTGTTCACGCAGCGTTGTCAATATAATGGAATTTGATGCGACTGTCATACAAGTGAGAGGTTTAGCTAGCTATAAAACCAGGTTCTATCCACCATTTTCTACATAAGAAAATGCCTGTACCAAGTCAGGAATATGACAGTTGTTATCCATTCGTTTGAAGTGTTTGAGCTTTTAATTTGCCTTTTGATTAGGAACTTTCCTTTTTGAATTTTCCTCGGAGTTCAGTATTTTTGTGATTTTACTTTTTAACAGTTCATTGATTTACATTTCTCTTTATTTTCTATATAGAAGCACAAAATGTAAGTTATTTAATTTGGGGTTTAAGGTCAAATGGAACTACACTCTAGTGTATTTCTTAATTGTTTGAATTATTTAGACTAAAACGTCGAATCTATTTACCTATCTCTGTAATAACACCATGCAAATTCTGTTTCAAATGTTTTCTGGTGGTGATTTTTGTAAAAGTATAAAATGCCAGTTCGTTTGATGGCTATGTGAATATTCTGTTTAAGAAAATCTTTTCGTTCACAATATTTGTACGTTTTGTACTACATTATGTCTATTTGTGACGTGGCTCGGTAATTAAACACTAAGCTTTCAAATGTTTGGCTTTATGCGTTCCTGTTGCAGGTACATGTGGGTCCAGAGGGACTATTCGGACACATTATACTATTGTAGTGTTATTTTCATTGTGTGTACCCTCGTATTCATTTTTGATTGACTTTGAACTTAGAGTACATGTCATTATGTGTTACTATACTGCACTAGTTTATATCTACTATCAACTTTTTGTGTTGGCTTTCTTGTTAGCTTTCATTGTATGTTTGTTTGGATGATTAAATTTATTTGTGCTGTATATATTTATGATGTAGTTTTACACAAGTTTGGCCGCTGAATCCCAATTACTGTCACATTAACCAATTATGTTTGTTTTGGATGCTTACCTATTTTGTCAATAAAACACTATTATAGAACTATTTGGTGGGGCACTCCCCCTCCTTAACTTTTATCATTATTCTGTAGTTATTCTTTACTCAATTCAGCATCCTTTATAACTGCAATACTGATAATGTTAGATCATTTTGAACATTTCCTACAAAGACATGAGCCCTCAAAGTATGACCCCCATTATCTCAATGGAAGTATCGTTTGAAAAACTTGGCAAAACTTTCTTTTGGTAGCAAAGAATTGAGAATGCCTTATGGAAAGGAGAAGAAAGTATACACGGAAGTGTAAAACTATGATTAGTCAAGACTTGATTGAAGAATCGCGGAGGATACACAATGTTGGATAAGTGCAACGGGGGTGGGGGTGGGGTTGGGGCTTTCTAAAAAGGTATACGCAAAAGTGCTGCTGGTATGGGTCACTTTTAAAATATGCGGCCAATATACGAATATAGATTAAAACAATGGGTAAAAATATAAACCTGTATGTCAATAGGTCATAAAAAACAAACATTCATATTTGTTAAGTTGTCTGTAAAAACTATGTTAAATTTCTATCAAGATCAAGGTAATTGTATGTATGATAGCTCGGAAATATTTAAATGCTGGGGTGATGACTTTCCTATGAAATATATGCATGGGTAGGGATTTAGTAGACATGAAGACATGTCTATAACTTGAGTGTGTTTTAAATACCCATTTTCCCCTGAAACAATCGCGCCAAACATAGAAACTTTCGTAATTTTGATACTGCGGAACACTTTGTACCTTTTCAGAAAGGTCCAACTTGTGTCCTTTCTAATATAGAAAGCAAGGTTATCAAAGTGTTGTGTAAAAATGACTTGACATTTTGCTATGGAAATACACACCTCATGTAAGACATTGATTTACTGTAATGTTTGCTGTATACGTCACTGGAACAAGCCAATATCATGCATATATATATATATATGTAGCTAGACCAGAGAAGTTCAGGATAAACATATGAAAAAAAAAACATATTCATATGAAGCAATGGTTAACATTTTAGATTAAGAGTAACTTGAAAAGTTCAAGAGAACCTTCTTGTTGTTATAAAATTGTTTGTGTTTTGTGATCTTGTTTGTCTTGTCGTCGTCTTTTTTTTCCATGGTGTTATCAGATTGTCTCGACTTATGAGTTCTGAATGTCCCCTTGGTATCTTCCGCATCTTTTTTAATGCCAATAAAAAGAAATAATTGTTTTATTATTTATTCCAGAGACAGTGTACACCCTTGCGGGCTCGAAACGTCGTAGTAGAAAATAGGTAGACTTTGCAAAATTGTATGATGTCAAAGATTATGTCAAACACTTTGCAAAAAATAAAAAAAACAAAATTACCGAGGTCCAAGGAAAATTCTAACGGAAAGTCCCTCAACAAATGGCAAAATCAAAAGCTCATTAACATCAAACGAATGGAAAACAACTGTCATATTCCTGACTTGGTACAGGCATTTCCTTATGTAGAACATGGTGGATTATACCTGGTTTTTAGTAGCAAAATCTCTAAAATGTATAACAGTCGCATACAATTCCATTATATTGACAACAATGTGTGCAAATAAGTGTATGAAAAGACATTTTGATTCAGCAAAGATTATCTTTTTTTGATCAATATCAGCGTACCAAGAAATTAAATCTCTTTTTCGTAAAAGATTATGAAATAGAAAACAATTTTGTGTATTAAATACTCATAAATATTTGATCATCCAACTAATTTGACTTTCAGACATATTTCATCGATTTGCAATATCATGATTAATTGGAAATTATATGTTTGGTTTTATATAAATATTTCATGTAAAGACTTTTTCATCGAATATTAAAGAAATCAACAGTATTGGTTTAAGATAAACATGTTTAAACCTCGGAGAAACTTGAAGCGGGATAACTGATCCATGCATTTTTTATTTGTTGTAACAATTCGATAAAAGTATGTTATACACCGTTCGTAGTCAAAATGAGACATTTTGTTTCGCATCTTTTGCATGCATCATGCACTTTTCAAGTGCATTCAATTTATCAGATGTGTGTCACAAGAATGATTTTAATTGCCAGCAACCGAATTTGGACCATTCA